AGTGAAAATAGCGAATAACGCGGCGCGTGCGGCGCGTTCGGTAAGGGTCAGTGTGCGCGAAAAGAAAAAAAAGTGCGATTCGTGCCGCGCGTGCGGCTCTGGTCAGTGTGCGCGTACCTTAAGGCTCCGTTGTAGAAATTGGTCCGAACATTTCTGGAAACACTGGTTTAGTATAGTCTGTCCAACGAGAAGATCCTTGACAGTGATAGATGTGTCTGTCATTTTAATTTCAAAGTAGTTTATTTTATTTTAAAAAGAAATAAGTTGGTACAACTGGAACGCATAGCAGGAAATATTTAAAATTTGATTGACAAGATGACAAGTGATTACTTCAAAATATTGTGAAAAAAAACTGTATAAAATTGAAAAAATGTAATCGAGTTATTTTATTTAATAAAAACGGTATGTGTTAATACAAAACAAACAAGAACAAGACACTACATACCAAAAAAATATAAAAAAAACTATTATTTAATTTCAAGCTTTATGAAACTACCCGCATTTATGATTATATTTATCAATATAACTTATGTACAAATACAAATTTGTAATATTCCACAGGAATAAATAGAACAACATAGGTAAATAAAACACACTATTTTATTAATAATAACACCTACCAAATTTTATACCTTACAGGTTGATTAATTAACTTTAATCTTAATTTTTTTAAACCAGTACCTTTTGACATTATTTTTCTGCAGTACTAAAATCCATTATTTCCCTCTCGTGTGATGTCGATATTTTACAGCTACTCCAGTTTTTAGTATGTGTTTAGTTTGATCCTTCTACCATATACGAGATGCATATACCACCCTCCTAAATGAGACTGTTGCAGTCCGGGTGGCGGGAGGATGCCCGCAGGGGGAGTTCTCTCCCCTCTGCTGTGGAATCTCGTTATGGACGGACTGCTTAATAGTCTCAACAGGGCTGGTTTCAACACTCTGGGATATGCAGACGATTTGGTCGTGTTAGTCAGAGGTAAGTTTAACACAACAGTAAGGGAGCGAATGCCAAGGGCCTTGAAGATTGTGGAATCATGCGTGACACGGGAGGGACTAAATATTAGTCCTACAAAGACCGTAATAATCCCCTTCACCAAGCGCAGAATACTTGAGGGACTAGGCCCTCTAAGACTCTGCGGTGATGAGATTCCTCTCTCGGGGGAGGTCAAGTATCTAGAAATCACGCTTGATACCAAACTGACCTGGAACCGACATTTGGAAAATGTCACAAGGAGGGCGGTGACTACACTAGCGGTAGTCAGACGCGTTCATGGAAAAATCTGGGGCCTTAGACCACAGATGGTGCACTGGCTGTACACTGGAGTGGTGAGGCCTTCAGTAACATATGTATCCTTGGTATGGTGGCCTAAGGTAATGCAACAAACAACAATGCTCAGCCTCAGCAAGGTGCAAAGACTTGCTTGTCTGAGCATAACAGGGGCGATGAAATCAACGCCCACTGCATCAATGGAGGCGCTTCTGGACCTTCCGCCTCTTCACATAGTGATCCAGGCGGAGGCAAGAATGGGACTCTATCGACAACAAAGTGTCTTGTCTCTGGGAAATAGGACAGAAACAGGACACTCAAAGATGGGAAATCCTATCGGAGGACCTCTACTCCAAATAAGATCGGACCAAATGACCCCTCTTTATCACTATCACAAACCATTCGAGGTGAACAAAATGGATCGAGGAATGTGGACAGATATAACATTCCTTCAGGATGGACTAACCTGGTATACAGACGGGTCAAAGACCGCTGAAGGAACAGGAGCTGGAGTATTTCGGGAAAGACCAAGGGTAAGTTTATCGTTTTCCTTGGGTAAAGACTCAACCGTATTCCAGACAGAAATCTTCGCCATTCTACGATGTGCGAAAGAAAACAATAGAAGAGCTTATTCAGATAAGCTCATCAATATATGCTCAAACAGACAGGCGGCACTTGGGGCGCTTATGAGCCCAAAGGTATCGTCGAGACTCGTCTGGGAATGCCTAGGTGAACTGGAAGCTATGGCTCGACGGAACAGAATTAAATTATTCTAGGTGCCGGGCCACAGCGGCATCCAAGGCAACGAAAAAGCCGATGAGCTAGCTAGGCAAGGATCATCGGCATCTTATCTTGGTCCAGAGCCAGTACTGGGAATACCCAAATGTATGGCCCGTAGTGCACTAAAACTCTGGATCAGGAAAAAGCAGAATGTCCACTGGAGAAACCGACACGGGCACAGGCACAGCAAGGCTTTTATCCAAGGACCTAGCTCCAAAACCGCAAAAGAACTGCTAATGCTTAGCAGGAATAAATTGCGGATTACAACAGTCCTCTTGACAGGACATATGGCTGTCAAGTGTTACCTGAACAAGCTCAATCTGTATCAAGGAAGTCTTTGCTGCAGACTTTGCGCTAAAGATCCTGAAACAGCGGAGCACATAATATGTCACTGCGAGGCTCTGGATCGCAAGCGACACTTTTTATTTGAGAAAGCTAGGCTAGAACCGGAGGAACTATGCTCCCATCCTATCAAGGACCTGCATAAGTTAGTGCAGGGCACAGGGATAGGAGAATGGGTGCAGATATAGAAAGGGGACAAACACAATAGGCCTCACAGGTCGCAGTGTTTCCGGCAGAGGACGGCCCCTTATTGTGGAAAAAAAAATATATACGAGATGCACTTATCTACGACGAAATGGTATACAAACTTTATCGATGGCAACTTCATTGGTGTATAAGACTTTCTGCCTGGGCAGCGAGTATTAACCATAAACTGTGCTCTGGGTCTACAGTTAATTTTCACTCAATTTTTCCTCCACTTGACTTACCTGAAATCTTACCTGAGAAAAAAAAACAGAGTATAGATATGTGACATCGTAAGGATTAAAATATTCAACAATGTTAAGTTGTTTTTACGGTTATATTTCCCGGACATGTCCGGGTAAATCCGGACATATGGCAACTCTACCCAGAACTATGTGAATACACCTTAAACGCTGCGAGTACATGTTTATTAAATATTAATTTCATGCAATTATTTTTTATTGCGCGTTAGTACTTAAAAATCGAATTAGTTGGAGGATTGTCATGATTTTGTCATTCGTATGTCGTGTTATTTTTGATGAACAACCGAAAAACGCAAGGGTGATTTGATTTGACCGATAAATTTGGTGAAAGGCTTACTACTTGCATTCGGTGCAATAATCCCACTTCCTCTTTTCTATGCCAAACGGTTTATAGTGTTTGGCTATTTATAACGGGAGAATATTTTCAAGATTCAGTCTTGCTCGGGTAAGTCAACAGAAAATAAGATGTTATAATTCATCACAGAGTCGTGTTTACATATGCGAATGATTTTATATCGTTATAAACGTTGAAGGAAAATTATTAATTTAAAAATAACATGTCATTTTCTTTTATTTTTAGTTTTCGAAAATTTAATTCCACTTTGCCATTAACACTTTCTTTCTTATACAAGAAGGTAAGGTTAATTTTTCAATCTGACATTTTGGGATTCAAGACACCTTCATCATAAATTTTATTAATTTAAATACCGATCTGGACTTTTTTCCTATTTTTTTCTACATCTCATTTTTCAGAGATAAATTGAACAAAAATAACGCACACCATCCTTTGAGAGATGTTAACATTAGCTCTAACTAATTTTATTTCTTCCGAGCGGTTGTACTTCCTAGGTTGACTTTTATCTTTTGAGCCTGATTGTGAGTTAAAGATTGTGAGTTATTGTCCTTTTACCCTCCTTCAAAGGTTTGCTTTGATAATATGTACTCACACTGGGTTATAGAACGTTTAGAGTTTTTAAACAATAATTATTGATTTTAAAAATATTATTCACAAATTAGGGAGAGGGAAATCAGACAACGAACAGAGATGATATGTGTTAGGTAATAGCTTTGAGACTGCCGTTCGTGATGCATTAATGTTGTTTTGGTCTGTAAATTTTGGTTATTGTGACAAAGAATGTTATTAACGGTAAAGTAAATGTTTCCTTATTATTTCACTATAGTGTTAACTAAAGCATATATCTTGTTTGTCTGCTGTATTGTACTTGCTGTATATATTGTTGGCCAAAAAATACCTTTTCAATTTTGTTGAACGACCCTGGGTTGTTATACCACATTTTACAGAAAAATAATGACTTTAAATCTGTCCAAGACCAAGACGAAGGGAGTCTTGGTCTTGCATTTGGTCTTCACTACCCAAGTAGCATTTTTGGACACATTTTAAGTAATGTTTCTAATAATTGTATCTGTTTCTTGACACAAAATGGAAACGGTATGCTAGGTATGGGTAGTAGTTGTTATTACATTTACACTTAAAACAAATCATCTCTGTAATGCGTATAATAAAAAATTATAAAATCGCATAAAAAAATATCTGTATTTGTACTTACCATATATATGTGTCCTTCTTTCTGTTTTTTTAAATTATAGTAGGTACTATAAAAACTTGAAGAATGCTTAAATGCAAAAACTGCAGAACAAAATCAAAACAATAAAGTAAGGTTATGTTCTCATATTTGACAGAATAACAAATAAATTATGGAAACTGTTCAGGCACAAAACGGATAGGAAATCCGTAAATGTGAGCCACATATGTTTCTTAAAAGTTTCGAAAATTTTGTCACACTAAGATCTTTATTGTTATAGCTTATATAGCGAAACCATATTTTGGTAAAATGTTTCGAAACAAAAAGCGATCTATGTTATGAAACATATGTATCAAAAATGTGACAAAACTGTTTCGCAACGTTTCTCAGCAGAGATTTTGTTTCGATTTTGTGTCTAAAAAGGCTGCTTGGGTAATAAGCTGTGATATATCTCTCTTTTCCGTTTCAGTCAAGATTCCAGAACGAGCGCAGGGTCGGCTCGGCCTGCACCGATGGTCCACGGGGCGGCAGCGCGGGCGGCCGCTGAATGACGGCCGAGAGCCCGAGGGGCGGCGTCGGCCCGCCCTCCCCCTCCGCCAACAATTGCAGCGCGGCGGCGGCCGCGGCCGCCCTCAACGCCACCTGGGCCAAGTACAACAACGACACCCTGCTGCTGGTCGCGCCCGAAAAGTGTCTGCAGGTGCGCAAGTACTGGTGCTTCCTGCTCTCCTCCATATGCACGTTTTTGGCAGGGCTCTGTATCGTGCTGGTAAGTACCTTTATCTACGTCAGTGAGTTAAGAGTCTCTTAACTCACGCATTTTAGACGTAGATAAAATATTGTACAATACACGCGAGTTAACTCCATTATGATACTTGTGTGGTTACACAACTCGTTGTGCAACTTTCACACGCGTATCTTAATGATGCTGTTAACTCACTTGTATCGTAAATATCTATTATATAATTCTATGCTATGTAATTTTTCTTAGGTGGTCTTTCTTAATTTTGCTTATGTACGCTCCAGTGGCGGACTAAGGGGGGGGCGGTAGGGGCGGTCCGCCCCGGTCCCCGTCTTTTAGGGGGCCTCCAAATCTTAGTAATTTTTTTTAATCAACTGGCAAATAAGGCCAATATGTGTTCAGTAGTTAGGAAGCAGTTTGTAGGTGGACTATGCAAACCATACGTATACGCCAACTATAAACAGTATAAATGGAAGCAGATATTTAAACTAGTGACTTCAATATTATTTACTGTCATATTGACATTGCCATGTATGGTGTTATTTGAATAAAGGTATTAAGGTAATTGATATTTATTAATTATCAATTATCAGGCCCCAGTAGTTGTGATTGGCATGTTCTCTTTAGGAAATCAAATAAGGGGAATACTTTTCTTTGTTTAAAATATGGAATAATTATTATTTTTTATATATTTTGAGACTGAATTTATTTATTTTAGCTTTTAAGTTATTTTTCAATGGTTTCATTATTTATTTTTACTGAATAAACATTTTAAATTACATCCATTGCACAGCATAACTTGTATACTAGCTTCTTTAACCGATGATGAGCAGTGAAATCTTTATTGTAACGGAGGCCACAGGCCTGAGACAGAGAACGATGTTTTGTCGCGGTATTTCCCTGGAACGCTAGCGAAATTAACGCGGCTCATATGTGGAACCGGTATTTTCATCACTTTGTCATCATAAGTTGCCATTAAATACATGCAAACATTGTTTTATTACATCAAATTGCATTCGTTTTTCAATTTGAAAATATTATAAGCTTTAAAAATTGATATTATTAAAAATGACGTTTTTCTGCAGTCTTTTAGAGCTAAGGCCCTTAATTACCTCGGGCTCGGGCACATCAGATCCCCAGGTCGTAAAGACGGCACTGCTGATGAGTAACATATTTATATCTATATCGATTTTATTATAATTATTACAGTATACAGGGTGTCCCAGTCTGAGCGTGCATTAGAAGTTTTAAGAGAACGACAATATCTAGATCGAAAGTTTTTCTGCACATTATTGTTTTACAACAAGATCTATCGATTAAAAATATTTTCAACATGGCGACACTTCCGGAAATACCGGAATTTGACAGAAACTTTCTTATTTTAAATGGTGTAAATATAAAAAAATATTTCCATTTGAAAAAATTTTCTTTATGATAATTTTTTAATCGCTCAATTCCATGACATCTGCTGCGGCCATTATTACATGACATTCGGACTATTTAATTTTTTTAAATAGATAGCCACATGTCTTCTCTTTATGGTACAGTGGTTGTGGCAATCACTAAATTTGACGTTTAGGCTATATACATATTTTTGACAGGCAGTTTTTTCCTAATTATAAATATTTTTTCTGCTCAAAAACGGTTGACGTTAGGTTAGAGTGTTTAATATCAAAATCCATAAAATTTTACAGAGAATTTAAGTAAGTAATAAAAAATGCGGTCACCCGTTTGAAATAAGAAAGTTGCTGTCAACTTCCGGTACTTCCGAAAGTGCCGCCATATTGAAAATATTTTTAATCGATAGATCTCATTGTGAAACAATGATATGCACAAAATCTCGGATCTAGATATTGTAGTTCTCTAGAAACTTCTAATGCAGGCTCAGCCTGGGACACCCTGTATAAATACTTCAATTTTGTCAACCATTATACATAAGTCATTCAATTTTTACAAAATGTGCATTAGAAGTATATTATTTTCTGAACAGACCGGGGGCCACATTTAGCTTCGCCGCCCCGGGCCCCCGATAGGCTTAGTCCGCCACTGATACGCGCGAAGAATTTAACTTCTCCAATTTCATTTCAGGATTTACTAGACTTTTCCTACTTACTTACTTACTAGACTAATTCAGTTATTACCGGGTGCGCCTCAAAAGTGGCTCACCCCTATAACTTTTTTATTTTTAGCCGATCATACCAACAGGTATGGTAGGCTATTAAGATCGACAAAAAAAAGTTTTTTTAATTTCACTCAAAATGAGTTATTTGGGTCATAAATGACCTAAATACAAAATATTTTCATGGTGTTTGTCTGTCTGTCTGTCTCTCTGTCAGTCTGTCCGTCTGTAATACGATAACTCAAAAACCGCTAAACCGATTTTAACCAAATTTGGCACAAAAATACTGTGGCACCCGAGAATCTGGCCATTAGTTTTTGGTGGGGGTGTAAAAATTTTAAAAAATCGTAACTCCAAAATTACAGTAGCTAGCGAAACGCGGTTTTCAATTTAAGATTAGAAATAATATTTGCAACAAAATTTGAAATAACATCAAAATCAGTCAAAGTCGCAGTTTTTCAGATATTCCGCGTTTCCGTAGTCCGTTTTTGAGAAAATTCGTGTGGAGAACTCCAAACTCCCATCGGACGCGACCCCAGGTGGCGGATAGGGGAAATAACCGCGGACCAAAATTGGAAAAATTCCTTTACTTTGAAACTAAAAGAACTGCCTACCAATTTTTTATAAACCTATTTTAGTATGGGCGGCTATACGTGCCTCCCGGCGCTAATTTTTTTTCAATTAAAAAAGGAGATTTGGTATGTTAATATATGACATAAATTAGAATTGATTGCCGTTTTCAATTATTTCCGGTCATTTCCTGTTTTACCGGAAATTACTACAACTTTTAATTTTTAAATGGCACCCTCGGTATTTTTTTATTTTATTCGATAGAAAATGTCATTCTGAATAGAATGACATATCATATGTCAACTTTTGACATTTTCGCTTAAAAAAACATCGTATTTTAAATTCCAATCTAGAGTGCCATAGCTGTTCTAAAACACTAATTTTTTAATCAATGAGCCTTGGAAAAATAGATTTGATCGTCCGATGTTTTTAGTTTCTTGTCCTGGCCGGTTAAAAGATACTCAAATCGTATTTTTAATCATATCTCATTTTTTTCAAACGGAACAAGGGTAGCTCATTAGCATATTTGGAAAAAAAACATTTTTTTACGAATAATTTGGTATCACACACTTGGTATTTCGAGTCGAATTGTCGTTACGAATCGCATGTTACAATTTCAAATAAATCATATGCGAAAATGTCAAAAGTTGACATATAATATGTCATTCTATTTAGAGTGCCATTTTCTATCGAATAAAGTAAAAAAATACCGAGGGTGCTATTTAAAAATCAAAAGTTGTAGTCATTTCCGGTGAAACAGGAAGTGACCGGAAACATTTAAAGACGTCAATCAATGCTGATTTATGTCACATATATACCAAATCTCGTTTTTTATATGAAAAAATAAAAAGTTTATTTGGTTAACGTTATAAGGGTGAGCCACTTTTGATACACGCCCAGTATTATGTGAAAAACAGGATATTCTTTATTGCCTTTGATTATTTTTACAGGTATGGAGGCTGTTTGCATTCCTATGTTGCCGCAAGGAGGCGGAATATGGCCCAAACGATCCGAAGCAGAAGGAACAGAAGGCCGCGAGGCAGGGCAAGCAGGAATTCGAGGGCACCTTCATGACCGAAGCCAAAGATTGGGCAGGCGAACTGATTTCAGGACAGACGACCACTGGTCGAATTTTAGTAAGAGAATACTACTTATTGTTATTGAATGAACGTTCCAGCTCGAGGCATAAAAAAGTTTTGGCCTGTTAAAAGTGGGACAAAAAAGTGCTAATAATATACAGGGTATCCTATTTTCGTGTGTTTTATGGGGTGTCTCGTTTATGAGTAGGGATACAAAGATGCGGTTTTTACATACTGTACTACTTTTTTATGAAACTAAAACTGGCTACACACAGATTTGTTCCAGCCCCATGAATTTTTTCGACCTCCCTCGTATCTCGGCTGTCTTATTACTTATCGAAAGGGTGAAAACTGGGCCCCGTAGGGGTTTTCACGTAAAATTCAGTGGTGTACTATTTTTTTGCTGGGAGCTGTCATTTTTGAAATATGACCCAAATTTATGTTTTTTTTTTTAAATAGGATATTATGAACTTTCTAAAAATACAATATACTCTATGCTTATTTTCAGAAACAAGGCAAAATAGTGTATTATTTTATTAGGAGTAAAATTATATTTTTTGCGACGAGGCTGTACAGGGTGGGCCAAATTGGACGCTTTTAAAGGGAAACACCGTTTTCTATAGGAGATAGACGAAAACTATTACCGGTGTCTGGAGCTTAATTTTTGCCATAAACATGATGGTGAAAACCGCATATCGATATCTGTTACCGTTTCAGAGTTTTTCAAAAATGTGCATTTTTAACAAACCGCTGTAACTTTTTTGCTATGGAAAATTTTGTATTTTTATGAAAACATTTCCAAAGCACCTTTTTGCGTAGAATTTAATGATTTAAGTATAATTTTTTTTTAAATTAATAATTTAGGAATTATCAACAGAAAATTTGATTATTTATATGGAACACCTTATATATTTTTAATTTATTGAAAATAATTTAAAATTATCTTTCCAAAAATATAGCGCACTTAATATTTTGCTCGATTCCTCTTCGAGATATAGAGTTTATAAAAATTCGCCCACTTTAAATAAGTAGGCTTTGAACGGCGCCGGCTGTAATGCAAAAAAATTCTAGCTGATCAATTAAAACGAAAATAATATTTGCAATGAGAGATGCTCAATTTTATAACAATTTAAAATTTATTTAACCAACATCAACACATTTAAACTATATATAATAACAATACAAATAAATAGCAAACCAAGACATGAGATTAGATCAGGGGCTTGGAACAGCCTCAAAAAGGAAATACCACTCCTGCAACTCCCAGTGGACGATAGGCCAAGAACGTACAACTTTGACAAACATGTCAATGTAGTATTGAGCAATAAGAAGGATTGGAAGAGCGAAACGCTTGCCCAGCAGTTAAAAGACCATACCATAATTTGGTATACTGATGCTTCCAAAACCAATACGGGAACAGGGATTGGAGTGTTTGGGCCGAGAGCTAATTACTCCGAACCAATGGGCACTTACCCTAGTATCCTACAGGCAGAAATCTACGCTATCGAGAGATGCGTACAACTTATCTTAGATATCGACGGCCAAAGGTTGGGATCTTGGTTAGCTATTCAATTATTATTCTTGAAATTGGCTGCAAAAATTTGCTAATAACTTCAGCGTTCTGAGGGGGTGCGGTGCCTCGTCTTGCTGGAAAAATATGTTTTCGAGTTCCATTAGGGGCATATCATCAATAAGAGATCCAAAGCCAACTAGTTAAAAGTGGCGAACTGTTAAAAATTCTGTATTTTGAAGGGGATTAAAAAAATATCAAGTGTGCTATATTTTTGAAAAGTTAATTTTAAGTTCTTTTCAGTTAATTAAAAATATACAGGGTGTCCCAAATAAAAAATCAATTTTTCTGTTGATAACTCTTAAGTTATTAATTTTAAAAAAATTATACGTAAACCATTAAATTCTACGTAAAAAGGTGCCTTGGAAATGTTTTCATAAAAATACAAAATTTTCCATAGCAAAAAAGTTACAGCGATTTGTTAAAAATGCACATTTTTGAAAAACACCCCGTAACTCCGAGCTCATAACAAAGCAAATAAAAAAAGTAAGGTACAAGCTGTCCCATTTAAAAACATAAGTTTGAGTCATATTATTTCGAAAATGACAGCTCCCAACGAAAAACTACTTACGCCACTGGATTCCACGTAATAAAAAATTACGGTACACAGTTTTCACCTTTTCGATAAGTTATAAGGCAACGAAGATACGAAGAGAGTCAAAAAATGCAACAATTTAAAATACTCATATTTTAGGAACTAAGAGGGCTAGGACAAATCTGTGTTTAGCATGTTTAGTTTCATAAAAAATAGCCCAGTAATGTGGAAGCCATATCTTTGTATATCTCTACACATAAACGAGAAATCCCATAAAATAACCGAAAATATGACACCCCTCATGCTTATACATATACCATTTTGATATTACTTTTTTGAATTTAATAGATCCATTATGATAATTTTTTCTATATCTTGCACACATGTTTGTTACTGTTTTCTTGTCAAGAAAGCCTCCTAGATATCTCAGTTCAGCTTTCAATACGGATAATTGAACTAAAAAGAAAAAAGTAGGATACTAAGTCATACTCACGATGATTGTTTCGCGAGACAGTGGACTCGTCCAAAAATATCCCAACATATAATTAGATCCGTCTGTTACTTGTATATATCGTGTATTTTTAAAGTAAGCGCCTTTCAACTTTGGCGAAACGTATTCGTAAGATTTGTTTACTATATGTGATCGAACTACTTATGAGCGTGTATATATTTTATTTGGAACGATTCAGCGTACTAATAAACTACACACTTTCCACGCTTCAATTTAATATTATGTAGGTATTAGGGATGTAAACGTAACATCGATGTTTTTTAAGGTATAGACTTGGTGCATTTCAACCGATTTTGAAAATTCCAACATCAGCGCTCGGTACGGTAGAAATTAGAACTGCCTGACTAATGTTTGAGTTGAGTGACCGTTTATGTTGATCATATTAAAATAATATTGAAATCGTGGCTATGTCATAATATTTAAGTATTTTGGTTTTTACTAGTGCAGTTACTGAAACTATAAAATTCTCAGGTACAAAGTTGGTGTAATGTAATGCTGTTTCGGGTAGTATATACACACGCGTTGTGATTCAAGTTTACGGCACAGGAAGCCACAAATCATCCGTGTATGTATTCCATTTCCTATTGGTCGAGATATTTTGAGGTTAGGGTTCCATTGTTTATTGTTTTTAATTATTTGGCGGGTTGGTTAGCGTGGTTATTTGGAGGGCGTTAATTCATTAGTTATGATTTTTTACTATGATTAGGTACACGTGAATTTAAGGTAATAGTGTAGTAGTCAGTTAAGTTCAAATTCAGACACAAAATATAAAATAAACACCGAAATCGAAAATAAATATAGGTTAGGTAGAAACGTCAAAACAGAAGGCGCGCGCAACACGGATGATTTGTGGCTTCTTGTGCCGTAGAAATAAGTCGCGTTGTGTTGTGGCAATTTCAAATGATAATAAAATTGACGAAAAATGTCAATACGAAAAGAAGGTTGTAATTGTGCGTGGTGCAATAGCACTCAATACAACTCTCCCCGAACAACAATTTACAGCTTCTCAGTTTTATCACACTGATTTGATCAAAGTCAAAAATGGATTCAGGCAGTTTGACTAAGCAAGTAAGTAAACAAAGTGCCCATTGCATAATCAACGAGTTAAATAGACATATGGCCAGCTAGGTCATATCGGATTCAATATGCCTGGGTTTTAATTTATGTGGTCAAATGAAGAACGAAAATGGATAAATAACAATTAAATGGTATTAAAATAAAATTAAAATATATGTTTTGATATTTTGACGTAACCAATTTATCTCTTTTTGTTTCCTAGCCTACTACTATAATTTTTAGACCTTATAATCCTAGGCGACAGCCTAATATGATTTATTTTCTAAATATCTCCCGTTAGAGAGAAGATAGAAAGTTGCGGTTTGGCGCTAATATTTTGGAAATTTTGTGCTCTATTTAACTGTGAAAAGAGAAATATAGCCTTCTATTTATTTTTTTTCTACAAAAGCGCAATATCTGTTAAGATGTCAAACAGCGACCTCTAGCTACCAGGAAAAAAATATTGAAACCCAATTTATACTGGAAATCATTAAGGAAGAAAGTTTAAATCGGCTAACCTAAACCGGAGTTATCCTTATTTTAATAAAAGCAAGTTTAACCTTCCCCCACCACTTTATTTTATGAGATAGGGCAAAATACTCTATATCAAAAAAAATTACAAATTTCTCGATGATTTTAATAGTAATATTTAAAATACCTATTCACCTGCATATTTTTGGGAAAAACTCTGTTTTCTGATTGACTATCAGAGAAACGCCCCCTGGCGGACATTTTTCGAACTTGAAAATAATTTTCAGTCATTTCTCTTGATCGATTTACTTATTAGAATTTTTTTCCTAAAGTTATACGATAAGTAGTTTCTGAGATACAGCCGGCGTCCATTCTTAGTTGGCCACCCGGTACTATGACGATAAAATATGATTTAATCAAAATTAATAGTATACTTCTTTTTAATTAACTAGTGTTTAATTTTTCTATGGATGTGTTCCAAAATTATAATTATGTATCTTGTAAAACATTTCGATTTCGTTATAGTGCAGATAACACTAGTTATGTCCCAACTAGCAAAACCTGTGCAGATAAATAATGTCATTTTATGATTTACTACCTGCTCAAGACTTAAAATAGATGGCTCTGTTTCTTTGAAAGAATCGACGTGAAACATCGTTAGAAAAATATCGATACATTGTTAGTTTACATTTACAATAGTTGAATATCAGTGGCAAATATCGATGTTTCGGAATTATCGATGTATCATTTGCATCTCTAGTATGTATACGTTATATACACATACATTATTAAAATAGTTTTGCTAATGACTATTATCGCGATTATAGAAGCAGACGAACGGATCGAGAACTATTTTAAACACGCTATAAATATTTCAACGCTTTATCTACATCGACTTGGATTGTATGCGCTTC